AAGCATGACAGCAAGCAGAGATGGCAAAGACCTCCTTGCCTCCATCTGCTCTGTGAGTCGAGTGGGCTGCAAGGTTTGTCTGTCATGCATAATTTACAGACTGGCTGCAGCAAGGCCACCAACTCAGTTGGCTTTGAAAAGTTAATAAAGGAGGAAAGAAATGTTGTTATTTTGGATGCTTCTCTAATGTTTTGGGCAGGAGCCTTAAAGAGATGGACCCTAAATTAATAAGCTGGAAAGAAATGAACAGAATAAAACGTTGTTTTCTGCATCTGCCTTATTGAACTTCTCTGCTCTAATTCAGCACTGGTGAAGGCAGCAGAGGAAGCTGTAGCGTAAGTTGCAGCGAAGGGGAGGAAGGCTGCTCTATTGATTTGGGTGCTAGCCTGAAACTTCAGAGACATGAAGTCATTTCCCTGCTCTGCCACATACTTCCTTGGTGACCTTGGGCAAATCACTTGGTGTCTCTGTGCCTCAGTTCCCCCTCTGTACAATGGGGATAACAGCTCCAGGAGTGTTGTGAGGCTCAATATGTTAAAGGGGGTGAGAGGCTCAGCTATTATGTTAATGGGGCCAGGTAAGGAACTAAGATAGACAGGGATCAAGACATCAATGTGTCATCTGTCCCAACTCATCTAAGTCTCCACCTCAGTGAGATTTTGACTCCTCTTAAGCTCATGGCATATGTGGTTTGCAAGGTGGGTGGGTAGGAACTTGGGACCAAATGGCATTCTGGAGTGTCCACTTGCTAGCATAAACTCAGTGATCAGACCTCATATGTTTCTATACTGTCACTTAATTACTCTGAATACACTGGGTTTCTCAGATCAGTAACTCCATTAGCTAGGGGGATATTTTTTGCTTTCCTTCCTGATTATTTGGTTCCTCTTCACGATACCCAGCTATTGGGGAAACTAAATGAAAACACAGGACAGCAAATCAAGAAGAAATTGCTTTGGTGGTTTGCGATGAACTCTTTGCAGCAAAGCATATATTTTCCCAATGATTAGCAAGCACATGCATTTTTCTGTAATGTTCCTAATTCCATTAGCCTTGGCACTGGCATCTTTGCCTTCTCCAGAAAGTCCCCCACGTCTGGTACGGTGACACCTCCTCTCACTAGCTGGGCTTCCCAAGCTCCCATTCTCTATGGAGTGGTTTATATGCCAGCAAATGGGCTTTCCCTTGGATGGCTGCCCCCTGCGGGCTTTTCAGATACTCTGGTCCCAGGCCATGGAGCACCTTGAAGATAAGAACCGAGACCTTGAACTTGACTCGAAATTCTAGGGGAAGTCAGTGTAGAGAATGGAGGACAGGTTTAATGTGTTTGCGGTAGCCCGTGCAAGGGGATTAAGCCTTTCATTGGCCAGCTCATATCTTGTACTCCTTGTGCTTAGAAAAGGCACAGGCCGGCAATGCCCATTCCCTGGAGACCCCTTCCTGCTACTGGTTATTGCGCTTCCATCCCTTTGGGCTTCTTGAGCACAACAGAGTCTCTTAGAGCTTTGAGGATGGCCCATGTCTCAGCTCCTCTGTCATCCAATTGGGAATGGCAGAGAAACTGGACTGCTTGGATGGGTTCTTCTGCCTGTTTATAGACTGCGAGCTTTAGAGACGGGTATGATATAAGCTAGAAGAAATCAAATAAGTGAACGAAATAAATAAACCAACAGCCCAGCCTGGTGACACTCCCATCTGACCTGCCGATGGACTGGAGCTCAGCCGCTTTCTGTAAAGGTTTTGAAAGGTCTCTTGCTACAAGTACAGCTGCTGCAAATGAATAGCGTTGGGAGCAAGATCACACAGGCAGAAGGTGGGGCTTTTTTGGGTCATTTGAAAGCAGAGTTGCAAAGTCAGTTGATTTGTGCATGTGTCGCTGGGGCAGCAGAGCCCAGAAATCAGTGCTATTTTCAGGCCACCCTGGGTGGGGAAGATGGAATCAGTCTAAAAGACATTTGCTTTTTTTAACCCTTTGGCAGACCTGGCAGAGGGCTGAGGATTCCTTCTCAGTGGGAGGCATCTTGGCTCTGTTCTGACCCTAACAATGCACACTAACAAATTGGCATGCGCTCGGTTTGTCTTTTGACTCTGCTCATCTCCGAAGATATTCATAGTTGCCTTGGAAACTGACTCATCAAAGAACACTGTTGCTCTTTCAGGAGCATACAAGAGAGAATATTATTTCTTAAAGGGAGTTTCATACTAGTGGAAGGTGCTGGAGCGACAGCGTCAGAGCCGGGACTCCTGTGCTTAGCTACAAGCTTCCCCCGTATGCATATCATCCCGCTGCAGTGTGCGCCCCTCCCAACCTGCAGTGACCATCTCCAAGTCTTCATGACCCATTTAAGATCTCATTGCAGACCAATGGCAAGACTCCCATTGGCTTCAGTGGGAAAAGATCAGGCCCTTAGCTCTTGGCTTTTTAGAGTGTCAATAGCACGAGCCAACCTCTAACTGAAAAAGATCAGGAGGAAACTTCCCCTGGGGTCTGGTTATCCCACCACTGCAGGGTTTCTTGCACCTTCCTTTGAAGCAGTTGGCCACTGTCAGAGACAGAAGACTTGACTCGCCGGGCCACAGGTCTGATATAGTCTGGCAATTCCTGTATTCCTAGCTGCATAAGAGAGGATGCACTGCACTCTTTGTAATATGAATGTCTCTAGTTCTGGCTTATCAAGGCTTCTTTATTCATTTTCAAAACAAACAAACAAACAAACAAACAAACAAACAAACAAACAAACAAAAAAGCCACCCACTGGAAACTGAGTCCTCTTTGCAAAGTCCAGGCTGGAAAGGGTTTTGTTGCTGCAAAAGCAGGTTATTTTTAAAGCAACCGAAATACCGTAGGATTTCAGCCTCAAATGCTCTGCAACTTGTGCCTTGGTAATATTCACAAGGCATAAATCATTTACACGAACATCCTGATAGGCTGCTTGCCTCGCTACATTTAGAACAAGAAAAAACGTCCAGAGAATGTGAAGACAGCAGATTCCCTGCAAAGAAGTCAACTGTTTCTGGCACCATTATAATTTAAAAACAAATGGATAGAACATAATTGCAAATGTCTGGATTGTTTCCCCTTGACAAGAATCATCTAAAAGGCCTGCCTGGCTGGGCTTGGCTTGGCATAATAGGATGGGATGTTTCTTTTGCCAAGTTGCTCCTGCAAATATTCCGAGTGTTATTTTGCATCGTAAGTCTTCTGTTTTTTATTGCTGGGTATAAATCTCACAGGGTGCTTTTATGATTCTGTCTCCAGACCTTTAAAATCTAGATTTTATCATTATTGGAGAGGGGTTGGAGGCATCCCAAGAGTTTGGCACTGACAGAGATACAGGCAGCATGAACTGCAGTCACCCTGTGTCCAGATTCCCTGTTTCATGGGCCTTTGGAATAGATGCTCCATTGGAGAAAAATTGGTTCTTTGCCCGTGGAATTTGAATGGACAAAGAGCAATTGCCAATGTTCATTTCCTGTTGGAAATGCTGATGCCTCCTCCGCTTCTTTCCTTCATGACACTCGGATTCAGTTTGCAAGCTGTGCTGGTGCCATTTACAGGGTCAGTATTTTTAAAATGAGTCTGTCTACAGGGGGAAATTTAACCAGTTTGAAAACTGGTGCAGCTAAACCAATTGTAAAATCAATTTTAGAAGGTTGGGAGGTTACTAGATCATGGTCTATAAGGAAAAACCTATCTGATACTGGGGGGAGGGAGGGGTGTCTTTACTCTGTGTCAAAAATGTGCACCTTATTTCCAGACAATGTTTCTAGCTTCACCTTGGATCTTGTTCTGCCTTTCATGGATCAATGAACGAACCATGGGAATGGCTTACCTAGGGATGTGGCAAATTCTCTAGCACCTGGCATCTTTCAATCACAATGGGATGTTTTTCTAGAAGATACCTTGCTGGCTCAGCCACAACGTACTGGGGTCAGTGCCTGGCCTGCGCGACACAGGGGGTCCTAAATGATCATTATGGACCTTAAACTCTATGAAGACCCAAAGTGTAGGCAGCTTATGGTGACCTGACCTCTTGTTACTGAACTGGTTTCAAGACCAAGCACATCTCCCCAGTGCAGAGGGGCCCTGTAAACGGTGGAGAAGGTGATACCCACTCTCAGTTGGGCCCTCTTCAGAGGATGGCAGAAGGGTGACTGACAGGGTGCTAAGCAGAAAACTGCTTGGCCAACCCTCTGTCACTCCAGCTCCAATTAAGGGAGGTGAATTGGAGTGGGTGGGTCACCTGGCCCTGATTGGGGAAGCTGGAACAGCTCCTGCCTCATCTGGCTGGATAAGAGCCCCAGGGGAAGGGGGGCGGGGTGGAAAGAGGGAAGCTGCATTAGAGGAAAGGCAGTGAGGGGAAGCAGAGAGAGGTAGTTTGCCCGCTCTCTCCTGCCGGTGGACTGCATGAATCGGACTACTTATATGGTGGAAAGGTGGTGGGAGCACAGCCTGTAAATAAAAGCACCAGGTGGACACTGCACCAAAAGGTCTCTGCGTGACTTTCTCAGCCCAGTGGGGGCAGGGGCCGGGAGGGCCCGGCAGGGACGCTGTTACAGTGACAAAGGCAGCAAAGGCTTCATCCAAACTATGTGGAAGAGGAAATGTCAGATAATCAGATGTCTGGATATTGCAGACCTGAGGGGGTGGGGGGTTCTCTGCTCAGAGTCCCCATCCAGGTCCCTCCTTTGCATCCTTTCACCTGCACTCCCATTCCTATTTTTCTCTCCTTATATTTTGGTCCCAAGTAATCAGTTGCTCCCTGGCCCTGTGGCCCGTCCCTCATCTTAGGGAGAGGGTCTTTAGTTCCTTGTGTGCTCTGCTCACCATTCCAGGATATCAAATAGGCCGGTGACTTTCATTCCCTGACTCCTTCCCGGAGAGGTGGGTGTTGCCAGAGATTCTCTGCTCTGTGTCCCCCTCTGGATGCCTTGTTTTGACCCTTTCACTTGCAACCCCCTCCCTGTTCTTTCATTTTTTCCAACTGTACTTAGTTGCTGTCTGGGCTCCTGCATTCCTCCTTTCAGCTGAGGAGGGCGGGCCTTTCATTCAATCCACAAGGCTGGTGCCTTTCATCAGCACAAAATTCTATTTCAGGAGGAAGGGGAAAAATAAATCAATCAGAAAACCAAGATGGAAACGCCTTGAAGTAAGTGCATTTAAGATGTAAACTGAAAAGAAGCCATTTAATGATGCATGTATCTTGCTACTTGAGACACATCTCTTTATAGGGATCTTCAGAGCAACTCACCTCCTTTAAAGCAGCTTAGAGTGACACTGATGACATGCCTGACCCAATCTCTATCCTTTGCAGAGATTCCATTTTCAGTCCCACAGTCCATCTCTCTCATTCTCGCTTCCTTTCCCTCACTGTCAGCATTTCAGCTGTCGGGCCCTCTCCACTAATGCACACTTAGATACTTTCTGGTGATGTCATTCATCATTCATAACAATTTGCCCACAGTAACAGGCTTGTTAATTTGATTATGCAAATTTCCTGTGAGTTACCAGAGCTATTGAAACAGCAAAATGCATCAGAATTTAATTCAAAAATATTCTCATCATGAGATTCATTTGCTTGCAACTTTCTCCTTGATCTGAAAAACTTTGGAAGCTGTTTGTTTCCTCAACTTTACCAGACAATGTTCACTTCCACACCAGCTGGAGTGTGACCAGGAGAAGGAAACCTTTATGTTTAAGAGCCTTATTGTTTATTAATGGATGTAATTAAATGGATCTCACTGAAAAGAAAGCGGCATAAAGTCTGAGAGTATTTTCATATGGCCCATTTACTTGTCTAAATACTGCACTCAAATTAATAAAGGTATTGATATAGACATTGGCTAATGTCTGGAAATTGCACTTGGGGTGATAAGGAAGACATAACAGTTGTTGCTAATAACTGTAAATCTTAATCCTGTTTTTGTTATAATATAGATTAAAATAACTAGCCCAGACATTTCTGATAGGCAGCCTCTGTGCAGGTGTGCTAGGAAGGCATACCGGGTGCCCTGTGCTAGAACTACAGTGATACACACTTTGGAAATACCTAAGATAGACAGACAGATAGGACAGGATTGTGTGTCCCAAGGAAAAGCTGAGACAGCCATAGACAGACACAGGAACCAGCTCGATTCCTGCCCTCCCAGATTAAAATAAAAACACAGTGCACAGGAGCAAAACCATTGAGTGTAATGAGTACATGTAGCATTACGTGGCTTTATAAGATTTAGAAATTAGAAGCAGAGGGCACTTGCTTAGGTCGCATCCTTTTAATAGTGATGGGCTGTTGCCTACCTTATATTCTCTAGGACTCTGTCCTGCCTGGCTTTAAAAGTCCAAAGGGATAGGATTTCAGCTTCCTGTTGGGAGGTTATTTCACATTGTGAGAGATCTTGCTTTCAGGAAGCTTTTCATTATATCCACTTCCTCTCTCTCACTTCCTATGTCCCTGTGTATAACTAGGAATAGCGGGATGGAATTGCCAGGTTAGATTAGACCATTCGTGTCTTGGATGGTGGCCAGCACCAGCTGCTTCAGAAGAAGATATAAGAAATCCTGCAGGAGAAACCTGCCAATAGAGGACATTTTATTCTAGCCCTATCCATTAGAGGCTGTTTAATGCTCTGTGGCCTAATGGTTTGAGCCCTGGACTGGGGCTCAGGAGATTTGGATTCTATTCCTGGCTCTGCCATTGGTCTGCTCGGTGTCCTTGGGCAAATCACCTCCCCTTTCTGTGCCTCAGTTTCCCCATCTGTAAAAAATGGGATAATGGTACCACTCCCTCCTTTTTAAAGTGCTTTGAAATGTGCTGATGAAAATGCTACAGAAGAGCAAGATATTATTATTAATATTGTGTCCTGAAGCACGTGAGTTTATGCCCATTATAATGTTTTCCAGTCCTGTCTAATGGAACTGTGGATGTTCTCGTTATCCATAAAATTCTCTCATTCTTTTTTGACTGCTACCACACACTCTGCCTCAGTGGCATCCGGTGGAAGTGTGTTCCACAGGCTAGCTTGGTACTGTATCAACAAGTATTTTTTATCAGTTTTAAATTGCCTTCCAATTTTATTGCACGACCCCCTAGTTCCTGCGTTAGGCGAAAGGGTAGAGGGAAGGTCCTGGTCCTTCATAATAGCTCTGTCATGTCTCCTTTACCTCTCTTCAACACCTTGTATATAACACACACCTTAGCAAGAGTCTCTTTTCGCCAGCTCACCTTCCGCTTTCAGGATCCTGTTGTATGGTCCAGCTGGTCTGGCCCTCTCCTTGCGGTGTAGCCCAGACTGTGTTAGGTTTGCACTATTCTATTGCATTATGCTCTGTGATATAGGAGGTCAGATGATTACAATGGTCCCTTCTAGCCTTACAACCTATGCATCTATTGAATGGCAACCCCAAAGTTAAGCAAATGTTGAAACCAAAGCTAAGGGATGAACACAGCGATGGTGGGAGCAAAGGGTTAACGCTGAATGGGGAGTTAAGGCTGCAAATCACCTTACAAGTAGGAGCTGTGGAGGGCTCTGCTCTGGGGTGTTAAGAGCACTGGGCGTGGTTCCAGGAACTTGCTTAGCTCAGAAACGCGATGCAATTCACATAGCCCGTCTTTTCTGCACCATCTCCTCAGAAGGCAATTTCCTACATCAAGCCTGAAAGACAATCACAGCATCTCTCTCTCTCTCTCTCTCTGATTCTGAGCATCGGAGAGGGAATTAAGCTTTAGAAATGGATGAGCCTTCGGAGCTGAGGCACCCAAGGGCTCAGGAAAAAGAGGAAGAATTATATTCTGCAGCAAAAGATAAGAGAAGGTGGTAATCGCACAGCGGACTGAGGGGCAGGGGGGCAGGCCTCAGCATCCACAGCCTTCCTGACATGCCTTAGGGGACAATGAAAGGTCACCGAGCACTCCTAGGCATTCAGAGCTCCGCTGCTGCCTGACTCTGCTGTGGCCCCCATGGGGGTTTCCACATTGCTTTAAGATCCTGGGATAAAACGGGGCTATGAAAGGACAAAGCATGTTGCAGTGAGCCCAGCCGACCTGCTGGGGCACCAAAGGGACAAAGCCCACACTGGCAAGGGAAGGAGGGTTGCACGCAAGAGAGAGACGATTGCTTTGGTGAGGCAGGTTCTGAGCAGCGTGATGCCCCCGGGTTGTGAGCCATTCATAGGAACAGGCTGGGAGACAGCTCCAAGGACTGGAGGAAGCTGGATCTGTCCACCCCAGGGATGGAAATTCTGCAGAGACTTGGCCTTCTGGGAGTGAGGCCTAGACATTGATCTGGCTTTCACTGAGCCAGGGCAGGCCTGAGACATGCCACATTGTCCCCATGGCAGCTGCAGCCCAGCAGCCAGTAGGGGCCTCTCTTTCTCCAAGTAACTCAAAGAAGCTGCATTGGTGTAATTGCCAGGTGTAGACAGGCCTGACCCCTGTTTGTGCTGGTTTTCAAAGCCCTAGTGCTAATAGCAGCTTTGCCTGTCTAGACGGGGCTTTGTACTGATGCAGCTGTCAAGATGGGGGCAAATCCTGGGATGGACAAGGCCTATGTGCCTTCAGCTAGAAAAATAAAGGCATCACATGAGTGAAAACAAAGCCAAACAGATCTCAAAGGACAGGCAAACCTAGACCATCCCTGACAGGTGTTTGCCCAACCCACTCTTAAAAGCCTCCAGCGATGGGATTTCCTTAACCTTCCTTGGAAGCCTATTCCAGAACTTAACTACCCTTAGAGTTAGAATTTTTTCCCTAATATCTAATCTAAATTCTCCTTCCTGTAGATTAGAATTGTCCTACTTTCAGCGGACATGGAGAACAATTGATCCCCATCCTCTTTCTAACAGCCCTTAATGTCTTTGAAGACTATCATCAGGTTTCCCCATAATTTTCTTTTCTCAAGGCTAAACAGGTCCAGTTTTTTAACCTGTCCTCATTGGTTAGATTGGTTAAACTTTGATAAGTTTGTTGCTCTCCTTTGGACTCTGTCCAATTTGTTCACATCTTTCTTTAAATGTGGCCCCCCAAACTGAACACAATACTTCATCTGAGGCCACACCAATGCCAAGTAGAGCAGGACAATGACCTCCTATGTTTTACATACGACACTCCTTTTAATATGCCCCAGAATATTAGCCTTTTCTGCAGTACTACTGCCTAACCAGTTATTCCCCATTTTGTAGTTGTGCACTTGATTAAGTGAAGCACTGTGCACTTGTCTTTACTGAATTTCATCGTTTAATGCAGACCAATTCTCCAATTTGTCCAGATCATTTTGAATTCTAGTCCTATCCTCCAAAGTACTTGCAACACCTCTCAACTGAAGTCATCTGCAAATTTTATAAGCATAGTCTCCACTCCATTATCCAAATCATTAATGAAAATGTTGAATAGTACCAGAACCAGGACATAGGCCTGTGGGGCCCCACTACATACATCCTCCCAGTTGGAGAGCAAACCTTTGATAACTACTCTTTGAATATGGGTTTTTAGTCAGTTGTGCACCCAGCTTATAGTAATTTCAAAGACCACATTTCCCTAGCTTGCTTATTAGAATGTCAGGTGGGAGTGGAACTGTGTCAAAAGCCTTATTAAAATAAAGATATATCATGTCCACTGCTTTCCTGCTATCCACTAGGCCAGTAATCCTGTCAAAGAAGGAAATTAGGTTGGTTTGGCATGATTTGTTCTTGGCAAATTCATGTTTGCTATTACTTATCACTTTAGTATCCTCTGGCTGGGTGCTTAAAAATTTATTGTTTAATAATTTGTTCCACTATATTTCCAAGTATCAAAGTTAACCTGACTGGTCTATAATTCCCTGGATCCTCTTAGTTCCCCTTTTTAAAGATAGGTACTATATTTTCTCTTCTCAAGTCCTCTGGACTTCACAAGTTCTTGAAGATAATCGCCAGTGGTTCTGAGATTCCATCAGCCAGTTCCTTAAGTTACTGTAGGGTGAATTTCATCAGGGTCTGCTGACTTGAACACATATAACTTATCTAAATATTCTTAAGCCTGTTCTTCAGCTATTCTGGTTTGTATTCTTCCTCCCCCCTCCCGCCCCCCCATGGTTAATATTAATTGTGTTAAGCATCTGCTCACAATTAACCTTCTCAGTGAAGAGGGAAGCAAGATAGGCATTAAACACCTCAGCCTTCTTGGTGTCATTTGTTATTAGTTTTCCTTCCCTGCTGAGTGGTCAACATGTGAATGGAGCAACCTTGGAGATACAATGAAGGCCCAAGACTGTACCATTAACTTTTAATGGCAGCTGGACAAGTGGAGTTTTGGGTGTGATTAACATTCTATCCAAAACAGAAAAAGGTAGGGGAGGGGTTCTCGCCAGACAGGTAATTGTCCAGAGGAATAGAAGAGAAGGTCTTTGCCCTGAGGCACTTATAGGCTACACTGTCCATCAGTTCTTATCATGGAAGACATAACCAGTGATGACAAGAAGCAAGGTGTGAGAGGGGGAAGGACAATAGTTACATCTAATAAAGCTCATGTGATTTGTTTTGCTCTGCTGTTTATTTAAGAACATTTCAACAAGGGCAACCCCCCAAAGAGATGGAAGTTCTGGTTGATAAAAGGAAAGGTCCAGCCAAGCACTCCAGGTTACGGAGGTAATTTCTAGCAAGGGCTTATGTAGCATTAACTTGTTTTACTTTGACAACCTGATTAATCAGTTTTATTGTGACAGTGTGCTGCAATGCTGCCTCATGGGGGAAGCTGTCACCAAAAATACTTTATCGTTTTCCTATTTTCCATCTACAAATCAACAGCAGGAAAAAAAAAAATCCCAAGGACAGCTCAGCAACATGAGAAGTGGTGATAATTAAAACACATTCCAGCAGAATTAGACAGCATTCAGTGCTGTCACGCTATTAGGAGGTATTGCACTCAGAGAAAGAAACAATCAGGCTGTGCTCTCTGTCAGTAATTATCCATCTTCCTTCAAGAAGCCCAGTTCTGCACCTGTGTAAAGTTCATTACAGGATCTAATGGTTATTGGATCAGGCACTCTTTGGGCCGCCTGCACGTCTTCCCTGCTGGCTTGCAATGAATGGCACCTCTGCTATTAGCTGATCATTGCTGGCAGCCCTATTAGAATTTGCCTCCGTAGTCTGCAGATAGAGGAAAGTAAAAGTTCCTGTTTAAAATGTTGGACCCAGCAGAATCTGTGTTAAAGGAGCCGATCCCATTTGTGAGGTAGTTTCCCTTGGGGTTCAGAACCACGTTCCGCTCCACTGAAATCAATGGGAGGGTTGCAATAGGGCACATCTGATGGTTCAGGGGCGAGGGGGGGCATTAAGGGGTTGTTTCATAGACTCATAAAAATGTAGGACTGGAAGGGACCTCAAGAGGTCATCCAGTCCGGCTCCCCCCACCCCCTTACATGCAGCGGCAGGATTAAGCATACCTAGGCCATGGGGAAGTTTGTTTTCCTTTTCATTGGAATAATATATTTTAATCTTTAAAAATAATATTTTGGTCTCCAAAACATGGGACAATAGCCATTAAAATCCACTCACTAAAATCATAGAAACCTACCATGAATCTATACAACAAAACCTTGAACCTGGCATGGACTCACTCATTGTGGGACCTTGGGGAATGGGGTGGGAAGGAGATGGCCAAAATGATAATGCTCCTGGGACTCGTTATAACGAGCTATAAAGTGATCTTGACAACATGAGCACTAAGGGTGCTGAGGGAAGGGGAGTCAGTCGTATGGGAGAATGTGAAAAATGATTGTAACCGGCCTTTTCCTGTATCACATTTGTATCTAATTGCATCTGTGTTGCTTTCTCTTGCCCAGATTTGGAGCTGCTCTGTAATAAATGATGAATGATACATCCTGTCTGTCTGATTGCTGTGAGGGTGCATCCACCCCAGCAGGGAAAAGGAACTTCATCTGGGGATACATTTCAGAAGAATACATTTTAAAGGTTTACTGGTCTAGAAAGAGAGAGGGAGCAAACCCCTACATTATCCTTCACCAGAGGAGACAAAGAAAACCAGCGCTTTGGACTCTGGGGATCCTGACTAAAAGCTGGTCAGCATTGCTGGAAACAGAAGATTGATGAGGAAATTACCTCGTACAAAGGCTGTAGCTTGTTAAGTTAGGTCTTAGCTGTTAGCCTATTTTTACTTTTGTTTGTAACTCTTTCTACCTTTATACCTTCTCTTTGGTATCACTTCACCTATGTCCTTTTGTTAATAAACTTGTTCTGTTTTTACTATAAACCAACTCAGTGCTGTGTTTGAAGGGACAGGCATGTTTACTTACGTACTGATTCTCTTTAAAAGAACAGCAAACGTCCTGACTAACAGACGTACTGGAGCATGGGCTTTCGTGGGTGAATACCCATTTTGTTATCACATGCATCTGACGAAGTGGGTATTCACCTACGAAAGTTCATGCTCCAATACGTCTGTTAGTCTATAAGGTGCCACAGGACTCTCTGCTGCTTTTACAGATCCAGACTAACACGGCTACCCCTTTGCATTCACAGGAGATAGTAAGTTTGCTATCAAAGTGGTAGGGGCTATACATTTCAGAGAAACATTTTCGAGGAGCGTTGGGGCTGGAGTTCACAGATTGTTACCTGCCAGGCAAGGTCTGGGCTGAGAGAGCCTGGAGGAGTTTGCCAGTGAGTGGGACAGGCTGATGTGGCAAGGAGCTGACACACAGTCTAATCTCCAGCAAAGCTCACGCTTGCCGAGGCAGAGAGTCAACACAATGCCTCACAGCTTTGGGTATCCCCAGCAGAGTGTTACAGAGTCTTGATGAGAAATTCTATTTCACAATGACTTGCCAGTTGGAGCAGCTGAATTGGCTGTGAACTCCCTAGTGAGCCTCTTCTCTCTGTCTGTGGGAGGCAAATGCATTCCTGTTCACTGACGGAGATCAGAGCGGAAGAATCTAGAGCACAGGTCCTTGGGGATGTAATGAGGGCCTTGTGTGAGGACATTTGACTGGCATTGTAGGCCTCCAAACTGTAAGTGAATGTCAAATAGGAGTGAAAGAAATTCATGTTTTCTTTGCATTTTGTTGCATTCTGTCCAAACATTTCCAGCATCCTGTCTTCGGACAGGTGCTCTGCATCTTCAGACAGGATGTGCATTGATTTATGAGCCAAGACCACTGGACGGGACAGGAACTGGAATGGGAGCCAGTCATGAGGCTACAGGGAGTCCGTTATGAGTCCACCTCAGCACGACTGTGATGGATGTGAGTGGGAGAACAGAAAGGACTAAGTTGCTCTGGACCTGATTGGGGTGCCAGGATGGAGTCAGTCAATCTGGATTCAACTCCTGACTCCGTTGCAAATGTCCGATATAATCTTGGGTAAATCACTTGGTCTTGCTGTGCCTCAGTTTCCCATTTGTAAAACAGGGATAATAATCCTCGTTTTGTCCATTTAGATTTTAAACGCTTGAGGGCCAGGACTGTCCCTTGCCATGTGTATGTACAGCATCTAGCACAGTGGGGGCCTCTAGGCATTACTGTAATGCAAATGATGAGTGATTTCTTAAGAAGTGCTTCTTTCGGGCCATACAGTTCTAGGTATGGGGCTTGATGATGATAAACCTAAGGGTCTGTTTATGGGAGCTGTGAGGTTTTTGTGATCTTGAGAATGAAAGCGCAAAGACTTCTAAGACAGAGGGAGCCAGTTGGATGGGAGAAAATGAAAAATGATTACAATAGTCATTTTCCTGTGTCACATTTATATCTAATTGCATCTGTGTTGTTTCCTCCCGCACAGCGTGAATATTTGTGCCAGAGCTGACTGTGATCTCTGACAGGCTGAAAAGCGCCATTCTTAATTTACAGACTGGGGGGAAAAAAATGAAAGAAAAACAAACAGAACAATTGTGGGGGATTCCAGAGTGCGAACGCATGTGTCAGCGTCTGGTTTATTCGCTCATTTCCCCACAGCATTGGAGCATGTTTCATTATCTATCAAGTGGTGACAAGTCTCCTTCATTCCCCCGGGGACTGGATCACATGTCGAACCCAGGAGAGCTTTCCTTGGGTTCATTCTGCCTGAGCTTTGTTATTAGATGAGACAATTGCACAGAAGAAGAAAACCAGGAAGGGAAGCTGCTATCGCTTGGACACACAATTATGTTGATCAAATACACTCGGTGCTGAATAGCCTTTAGTATATTAAACATATTGATCTCTCCTGTCTCAAGGGAGAGGGAAATGCCAGCAGCAGTAGTTCTATTCTGTAATACTGAGGACAGGGGAATGCTTAAAGGCCTGTTTTTTCATTTCTCCTCTCCTCAATTCAAAAGGAGTGTTGCTTGGATTAAGATTATCAGATTGGGTTGCAGCTCTGCAAGCATGTGGCATGCATGGCAGGGGAGTGATCAATATCTGGTTTTCCATAGGCCATTTCTATTGAGTTTACTGTTTGCTCTAGAAAAAAGAGCTACATACAGGGCTGGCTCTAGGCACCAGCAAAACAAGCTGGTGCTTGGGGTGGCACATTTTTAGGGGCGGCATGGCCGGCGCCAGAATACCGCCCCTAAAAATGTGCCCCGGCCGCCCTAGCTCACTTCCGCTGCTGCCGCTTGCGTGCCACGGTGTGCGAAACAGCTGATTCGCGTGCCGCTGCTCGCCCTCCCTCCCAGGCTCTCAAACCTGGGAGGGAGGGGGCGATCCCGAGTGGCCCCGGTGTGCAAAACAGCTGATTCACGCGCCGCTGCTCACCCCCCCCCCCCAGGTTTGAGAGCCTGGGAGGGAGGGGGAGACTCCGAGTGGCCGCGGCGCGTGCGCCGCTTCTCCCCCTCCCTCCTAGGCTTGAGAGCCTGTGGGGGAGGAGGCAGGGATGGGGATTTGGGGAAGGGGCGGAGGTGAGGCGGGGGTGGGGTAAGAAAAAAACGGGGGTGGGAGGCGGCCAAAATTGTTTCTGCTTGGGGTGGCAAAAATCCTAGAGCCGGCCCTGGCTACATACTATGGGTGTGGGGTGAGATTCCCAGCTCTTGTAGACATACCTGTGCTAAACTGGATGAGAGTTAATGTCCTAAAAATATTAGTGTGGCCCTAGTAGCCTGGATCTCCTGGGTACATACTCAGCATGGCTGGCCTATGCCACTGCTTCCCTTGCCCAGATGTTGATCACTCCCCCTCTGCTCAGAACAAAGCGGTGAGTGGAAGAAGGGGAGTTAAAAATAGAACATGTGGAAGGAGAAGAGAATGCAGAAGGAAGGAAAGAATAGCCTGCAGGTACGGTAGACACGCTGGGGCAAATGCGGTGAGAATGGAGAATAAGGGTTTGTCTACCCCGCAATTAACCCCCCCCTCGGCTGGACCCTGTCCACCGAGTTGGGCTGCAGGGCTGTAAAATTGTGACGTTCAGGCTCAGGGTGGAGCGTAGGCTAGAGGGTGAGGGCATATCCCAGAGCCCAGGCTCCAGCTCGAGCATCTACACCACAATTTTACAGCCCTGCGGCCTGCCTGAGTCAGCTGACATAGGCCAGCTGTGGGTGGTTAACTGTAGACATACCCTTAGAGACATGTAGAGAGGGACAATTGGAAAGAGAGAAATGGAGACACTGGAGATGGGCTTGAGACAGGAAATTCAGCTCCAGAGCCCACGAGTCCTCCAAAGCCTGGGCCCATCTCTGAGGTCCCGATCCAGCAAAGCACTAACCTATGTTCATCCCATTCTCCCCGCTCCATACCTACCTTGCTTTCCCAGTGCCAGCTGACCACATCAGACACAGACACAAACTCACAGACCCGACCCACAGCTGTTGTAAATTGGTGTTGCTCCACTCAAGTCAGTGCTGTGCTGATGTATCCCAGCTGAGGTTCTGCCCCTGGGTGGCATATTTATTTCAGAGATGAAAGAGTGTGAATATTACACAAATAAAAACTAATTAGGCAAAACATGTCAGCTTCAGAGACAGAGCTAAACTGATTCTGCAGCCACAGAGAATGTATTTACTCTTGCATAGGGGAAGCTGATTCTTCTGACAGCCCAAAGAGAATGTGTTTCTCCTTTCATATTAGCTGCCTGTGTCTTTTGTTGATTATTTCCAGGTATCTTGGCTGCATGATCATAACCGCCTCCATCCCTGAAGTCACACTCTGTTTCAGTTTCACATTAGGTGTCAGTTTGGGATGATGAGAGATTTCCATACACTCCCTTCTTGGCACAAAAGCATCACGGCTTAAAGTTTCACACGGCATCAGGGACGTGCCAGTGTGAGGCCGCAATGCAGTGAGATGATTGACATGTGGGTTTGGGAATGTCCTTAAGGGGTCTTGAGCATCCACACGTGAGGAATGAAGAGTAAAACGAAATCCATCCCAACACCCCCCATAGGTGCTGGAACTATGGGGGCTGCCGCACCCCCTGGCTTGAAGTGGTTTCTATTGTATCCAGGGTTTACAGTTTGGTTCAATGGTTCTCAGCACCCCCACTATAAAAATTGTTCCAGCACCCATCACCTTCCTCCCTCCCCCCTACCCCCCGTGGCTTTCCTGAGTGATACAGAAATGCCACACTCAGAAAAAAATTCTAGGGGCATGGGTGAGGTGAAACAAGGCATGTTGTGCCATCAAGCTGGCTAAGGCACCTGGACAGAGGGAGAGGGTGTGTAGAGGTGGAAGGAGAGGATCAGGGAAAAATTAAAGAGAGGCCACATGGTTCAATGGATAAGACACTGGAGTGGGAATCAGTGGATCTGGTTCTATCCCCCCATTTCTGCCACTAAATTACTGTATGACCTTGGACAAGTCCCTTAACCTCCATAGACCTTTGCTTCGCCTTCCACCATGTGTATGTCTTGGCTATTTAGAGTGTAAGCTGTTTGGTGCAGGGACTGAGAGAGAGAGAACACAGCTCCTAGCACACTGTGGCTCTGATCTTGGTTGCAGCCTCTAGGTGCTATTCATATAATTAAAATAAATAAATGAATAAGTCCCTAACTAATAAAACATGTATATTAGACAGTTCACCTATATGTTGTGTGTCTCATCTATTTAGACTGAGCTCTTTGGGGGCAGGGACTTCATATGGTGCTTGGAACAAGAGGGCCCTAGCCATAACTAGGACTTTTGGAAGCCATTGTAATACAAATAATAAACAACGCACCATTGGTTTACAATTATTTCCAGGTGGAACCCCTCAGCCATCCCACCAGCACCATTCAGCTGTTTCCGTGGGGTCAGTCAGTGATAGATACTGGAATTTGAACATAAAAAGTACCAGTGTGCATTGGGTTAA